AAGACGACTAGCACACATACCCGTTTATATTTTATGTCTCATATAAGACCGGAACCTAAAAATAGGTTAAATATACAAATATGTGTCAATTTGCTTGATATCAACTTATAAAAACAATTATCATTAAATCCTTTAAATAACTGCATTATCAATATGCTCAAAGCATCATATAAAAAAACGTTTATATATTAACAAAATACAGTACAGACTCGTTTATCATTAAACACCTTGGAAGACAAAGTATAGAATCGTTTATCATAAAATGATTAAACGATAAAAACTGTTATTGTCACAAAGCTCAATCAACTTTTATTATGAAAATACTTCAAAATAAAGCATGAAAACGTTTATCATCAAATTTATGAAACAAAAAGACAAATGTGAAAAATAAGATTACATACCACATCCAATCAATCCGATGTTTATCACCAAACACAGAAACAGACTTGTTATAATTTGTTTCATTTCTATAATCAGAATAACCATATAGATTATTCAGTAGTATTTTTCTTAACTCATTAAGATAATTGATTGACATAATTATTCGACATAATTAACAATGGATTGTGTATACAGTGTAGATGTTAAACGCAAGTTATTCTAGTAACATAGGGAGTTTCGGTCTTATTCCGAGTAGACGCTTTTTACATGTTAGGTCCACCGACTTCCATCACTGAGACCCCAGTTCCCGGTGATTAGTACATATATGTTTGCAAAAAAGATGCTCTATTGTGCAAATATTTTTGCAAAGCAACAGCAACAACAATTAAACGAAATATTTAAGCAAAAAGTGACTCCCTTTTGTGCCCCGATTCATTAATTTGGAGAACATTATAAAAGCATACTCTTTTTCCATGAAGGCTGTTATCCTTGTTATAAAGACTTCGTTTACCTTTTTAGAAAAAGGTTATTTAAATAAAGAGGTTCATAACCATGCTTTTATAATAAAAAAATACCAAGTTAATCGGTGCAAATTCCAACTTTAATCAAGTGATCTTGTCATTTTGTACAAAATATAAGAACTTCAGTTGAATTACAATAATTATGTTAAAATACTTACTTTATCTTATGATCCACTTTTACAAGTGAGGCAATAGTATTTTTCACTGTATTTAAATAAACTAGAAATATTTCCTAAACTACTTTCATTATGCAATCACTTGTCATCAATTGACAAGTGCAAATATGAATATGAATGGATAAAAAAATCAGTTATAAGTGTTTAGTTTCACTTCAGCGATGTGCTGACAGCTAAGAGGTTAGTGTGTCACCGATGACTACATTCGCTCTCCGAAAATATATTGGTGTTACAGGAAAGAATTCGACAGGATTAGTATCTTTTTGTGATAGCTGAATCATATCGATAAACTCAAGCTGTTCCTGCATCCAAGATAATGGTTGGCGTTACTGCATTTAGTTTGGAATATGGAAATTCATAAATTTGATTACGAATTTCAATTTTTTAATTCACCTTGGAGAAGCAATAAAATTATTGAAAAGAATTACATAAAAGTAGAACTGTCTGCAATCATAATCGTTTCCAATCATAATTGGAAGGAATATGATCAACCTATGTTAACTCTTGTCACCTAAAGGTAACAAGTAACAGCGATAACGAATCACATTAATTGGTAAAAATAAGCCACTGTCGGCAGTTTATGTTTTTATATGGCATAAACGGGGCACACTTCTTGTGAGTAGGCTGTGATATCAGTAAGCTGGAACCGGACGTTAACTTGTTATTTACAAATCAAACAACCATTTGTCTGCTCCTGGACATGGAAGTAACATGCTTGTGTTTCGAAGATTTGTGAGTCAAATGTTTCTAATAATATTTCTAAAAATATCATAAAGAGAAACATGTTTTTGGGGGGTCACTTTTTATTAAGCTTTGATCACTTTTCGTGACAAAATATGATTTATATAGTATGAATGCAAACAGTGTTATACTTCAACTAAGAGTTACTGTTTGTTTATGGGGAGAAAAGAAGTAAATGAATAAAGAAAGAGATAAGCAGTTTTACCTGCTTCCTTTTAAAAGATATAAAACTTATCTAATGATATGACTTAAGACAGTTAACTTGTATTTCGTACGTGCGATGCATTAATGGTGAATGTCATTGCAATATCTAGTATATTGAACGTCATGGGGTATGTATTTTTTTATTTCTAAGGGCATTGCATAATCCAATGATATGCACTCAGGTTTGTGTATCACTATGAATCATAACGATCAATTTCACCAAGGAAATATTTCACGATTCTGATGCATTATATTGAGCGCTGAAATGAAGATACTTCCACGTAACTTAACATTACAATATAATCCAGAAATTACTTCGTTGTCATAAGTGATACAAAGATCTAGCATTCGGCCGGTAAAACAAAAGCTTCATTGCAGACCGTAATTTAGAGGTCCATCCTCTTCGAGGGTCCTAAAGGCTTGAAGGCTGGTGTTTCTCCCATGGTCTTTCTTAATGACTCCGTTTAAGTAACATGCAAATTAAGATTTCCAATATTTTTTAGCAATTCCACCAACGTTAAAGAGGAAATTCAATCCACAGTGATGACTATCACTGATATTGAACAAAGTTCTTCTCCAGCCTCATCAATGGTGTTTGGAGATATCCGATTCCACCCAGGAGACATTATAGGTAGCTCAGGAATGTATACCGATTGTGAACATTCGCTTCCATCGACATGGTCCACGCCATCTTTGGAGACATCTTATCATGTAAGTGAATCCGGTGCTAATAAAACATATTATGTAAGTGAATCCGATGCTAGTACAACATATTATGTAAGTGAATCCGATGCTAGTACAACATATTATGTAAGTGAATCCGATGCTAGTACAACATATTATGTAAGTGAATCCGATGCTGGTACAACATATTATGTAAGTAAATCCGATGCTAGTACAACATATTATGTAAGTGAATCCGATGCTAGTACAACATTATCAACAGCAATACCAATACACCCAACGACAACGTTACCAACAAATACCAACTATCCGTCAACTACCAATTATTTGACAGGCATCTCAAGTACCAACGTTCCTACAAGCACCCCAACTACAATCTATCCGTCAAGCATTATAACTACCAACTATCCAACATTTTCAGAAATAGTAACTGCAACATCAACTCCCAATGTAACTGATCGAAGTCCGATACACAATTTATCAGGTTTGATGCAATTAATATCTTCATTCCCTTGAAATCTGTTATCTAATTACCTACGTGCAATTATAATTCTAAATGAATATTGTCAAAATGAACGAGGAACAAACTTTACTCTGAAATTTTCAATCGTATACACGGATAACACGATTAGCTTCTACCATTTTTAAACTTTTCGATGATCCCTCTCCAAACGTCACAATCGACATGATAGTTTGATTAAACATAATATGTATATTTACGCAATCAACGAATGGACATCTAAATTCATCTTTATTGTAAATCATCTTACTGGCCAATATTGCTCATTAACTCCTATTATTACTATATTACTATAGCTGGAATTACTAATAATTTTACAAATTCTGTCTCAATTCCAGGCGATGTGGGGTTAATATTTGGAGGAATCATTGGAGCCTTATCCTTTCTTACAATTGTTATAATAGTTATAATTCTGATTCACAAAAGGTGAGTTACTGAATCTTTTAAATGTATTAGGATAAAACTCTAGGGTTAATTCGGTAAATTTCACTTTTCAATGGTTTATTATATACCATACAACCATGCTTTGTAAACACTATATGATTGGGCTGTCGAGTTGACAAATCTAGTCGCAAAGTGAATCATAGGATTATGCCCTAGACTCGCTATATTTTTTGGATTTTGGAAATTTTGAAGACCGACCTGGGATAGATTTGTCTTCGACCAATTGCTGTGTGAATGTACTAATTATACCAGACAATCATTATAACCTAACCAAGTATTCAACCAATCAGCATTGCCTAGATTTGGCTCACAAAGTTGATATATATAAATATCACTACCAATTTACAATTTAACTGACAGCTAGCGTTCAATTCGAAGTAAGTTAAATCATATTATTACAATTTTAGTAAGCAAGATACTTTTAGCTATCATACTTTTTGTTTCTAACGTTTTGTCGTGTATACTTCCATTAAAGGATCCGCAATAGAAGAGAAAGCAGTTACATACCTAAATCCAGAGGAGTCAAGGTTTTGCCAGACAAAGTTACAGGTGGTAATTATAAAGCCTCCAAGATATTAGGAAGACAGTATGAAGATATTGATTTGACAGAAGGGATGCCTGAAAATGATCAAACATTGACTGAAACCCTGACAGAGAATTGTTACTACAAATCATTGGAATCAGTCGAAGGTCCTGACAGTATTTATCATCATTTGGGCGCAGATAGTTCTAGTGAACCTGTACGAGATGATAATTACCATCATATTGATGTCAACTTCCAACCATGTCAATCATCAACGAATGAGTATAAAATCGAAACTAATTCTCATCGCGGAACAGAAAGTAACTATGATCATATACATTTACCAACCTCCAAATCAGGTGTGCAGAATCCTAATTACAACCACATTCAAGTGAGCAGTATTAAATCTGAACAATGTGACTCGAATTATGACCACATTGCTCTTTCACAGCAAGTAGCACCAAATCTTCGTCGAAATGACAACTACCACCATATAGAACTTTAAAGCTTTTAATACACATTTTTTAAATTTTTGATTGTAGCCAATTACAGCCAGGCGATCCATTTTTTCGGGCTACGAGCCTGATTACTGCTCTAAATGATAAATTATCGGTTAAGATCAAAAGTCTTTAATGATATGAAAATATCCATTATTTGCAATAAATTCAATGATGCTATATTCATCAAAAATGAGTTGTATATGATTAAGGCCTTTTCATATTCTCATAATAGGGATCAATATTACGTGTTAAAGATTCTCCTTTTGTATTATAATAAGTATGACTACTATCTGATTTAGTCTTGTTAACATGATCAGAACTAGCAGTAGAATTAACTTGTAGAAAATCATAAGTTGGTAATGTTTGATCTCGTCCTGTCTTAGTTATACTATCATAATTATTTTCTTGTGGTATAGTTGACAAGGATTT